TTATCCTTTTATACATGTCATTAAGAACTGCATTATTTGAGGGTATTGTAAATATTTCTGAGCAAAGTTACTTTATTATATGTTGGTATTCATTACCCTGCATTCACAAATGAGGGATTCACTCACTAGTTCATTCTGGTCTAACCCTCATTTTCTGTTTTAAAATATGAAATGCAGGAATGGCGGGGTCCAGAGATAATAAGGGGAAAGGGAAAATGTGATTATTTTCCTAACCTATTATCTGTTTTTGAAGATCTGTTTTTGATGGCTTATTTTGAATATACATGTTGTATTACATGTGTTAGTACAAGATTTATTTTGGAATTTTTCATATGTAGATTTTGTTCATATAAGAATACTTGTACTAGTGGGACCTTGTAATGTAAACTATATTTCTATGTAATGAAATATGTGTTATATGCAAATGTGGTGTTTGGAGGTGTTACATAAAAAGAATATGATATATGCATGAGCTGACGTTGTAATATTTCAGTATTTTAAAATTTTGAATTATGGTTTTGTTTTGGTCATCCCACATCAATGAAGAGATGATATTTGGGGAATAGATTCGAATACATAAAAATGATAAAAATGTTATGATACATTTTAAGTTCAAACTTTGATATTTGGTTTGGGTATTCTAAATCTTGAATTGTAATTTGATTTTGGTCATCCCAAATTGATGTTGAATTGATAAATTGGAGAATATATCTGAATATATGTAAAGGATGGGGATATCTTTATGATGTATAACTGTGCATTGGTTAAAAGAACAACAAAAATGATGAGGTGACTTCATATCAAGTGAAATATCGGTTCTTATTAGTTTAATATGTTATGTAAATATCATAACACTTAGGGGGTGTTTGGGATTGCTTATTTGAAACAACTTATGTTTTTCTATAAAATCACTTATTAACTTATTATATGTCATACGGGTTTAACTTATTTAAAAACTCCTTATTACCGGTTTGACACCGGTATAAGTTGTTTATCCAAAAACACAAAAATGTTTATTACCGGTGTCACACCGAAATAAGACAATAAGTTATTTTTGTAAGCAATCCCAAACACCCCCTTAACTTACTTCAATTATTTTTTTCTAAAAATATTATAGTCATCGCACGATGCAGAACACTAGTTATTGTTTAATTTAGGGGTTGTGTTTACTTCTTAATAGTTCCATTAAGAGGCAACATCTGAATCGTTAAGAGGTGAATCTTGTTTGGTAAAAAAAATATCAGTCTCTTAATGGTTTTAAAACCCTCTGAATAATTTTGTATCATGGATCTCCCTTAACATTAAGAGCCCTAATTCATTTTACATGATTACCAAATAATTATATTTTATTTATATTATATTATGAAAGTCTTTTAATCATTCTATATCAAATCATTCAGCAATTACCAAACAAACCTAGTAAAGTAGTATTTCAAAAATAAATCTATTCACTGTTGACTGATTTTGTTCGCAAAGTCTAAAGAGATTGAGAAAAATAGTGAACCTCCTGTAACGGATCGAACATATAAAGAAACAACGTCATTTGCCATAAAATCCCCCCCTTTTTTTCTCAGCAATCGCCGTTAGATCCAAATCCAATCGCCGGCGATCGCGATGTGGTCCGCTCTCCGATCCTCCTCTCTCACCGCCGTCCTCCTCGTCGCTTCATTTCTCCTTTTCTCCTCGCCGGTCTTCGCTTCTGAATATGATCACAAGGTTAAGTAACGCCGCAACCGTAATTTTCTTTTATTTCGACACTGAGGATTCAATCTTGTAGATCATTGATCTTGAATGTCGGTATTTTTGAAATTCCTCGCTAGATCTTTGTACGAAATTTGTTTTGTTTTAAAAAAATGTAGCTCAAGAATTGAGGTTTTCTTTGTTAGGGTTTAGATCTCTGTTGGTTTTTGTGTTACTGGTGTTTATTTTTTGTCATTTTGATAGATTCAGCCACATGCAGGGATGAACCCACTTATGTATCTGGGGGACATATGGTGTCTTTCATCCACTATTATTGTCAGTTGGAAGTATTAGCTGTAGATCAATGCAAATTTGACCTGTGCTCATGATAACACCAGCTTTTAGGAGTTCCATCTCTCTACATGAGAGTGGGTGAGGTCTATGCGCGATGAATTCATATTTACATTTTACGTAGGTTAACTACAGTAATAGTGGGCTAAAAGACAGATTGATGATTTGGAAATATTAACTGAGAATTCTTTTTTTATGCTTTGGTTGGAAAGGATAGAATGAGAATATTGGAGATTGGTTGGTTGTTTATGTCTGAAATGGCAGAAAAGATAAGGATGGTTGTTACTACAAGATTGATCATGTGAACTAATGACCTTGGAATGGTTTTTCATGTAAGAGTTCAGGTATGGAGTGAAAACAATTATTGGTTAGGCTAATATTTTTTTTCCATATCTCTTAATAATTAGAACTAATTTTTGCGTCTTTGGGGGACTTTTTGCGGCATACAAATTGCTATAGGTCTTTTTAGACCATATTAGATGTACTTTGTGGCCCCTCTATTTCTAAGAGAGTGTCAGTGCTGCAAATACAGCAAAATCTTTGGACTAAAAGTAGAACCTGAAATCATATATTACAAATTAGATCCTTTTTAAATCATCAGTTTCCTAGAAAAATTATAGTAGATGGAGGGGTTGTTTGTTAAGAATATCTATGCTTATCCAGATGAAAAGATGGTAAGGGACGGGAGGGGGAGGCTCTCGAAACGGAACATGGGAATTAGCGTTCATTAAGATAAGTAGTCGATTAGGAGAACTGCCTCCCTCCACGAGTAGATATTTAGTATTGAATAAGGTCAAACCCAATCCCGTTCGGAGATCCATGGATCACAGACAGTATCTCCCCATGCATGGGTAAAGTGAAACAAATTACATGGGGATGGAACTCTATTTTCATGTACTGGACTCAAGAGACTAAATTTTTCTTCGCACATAAACTTGTTGGTAGTAGAGTCATAATAGGATTATGCCTATTATTACTTTTATATTGTGCCTAGTTTGCTTCTCCATGGCTTATTTATAGCGATATAGATATTTGGTACCATATGCCATAAAATTAAGCTTTTGGGCCATAATTGCTATATTGTATCAAGGCCGGGTTTTGATAACCAAGACAGTATCCTGCACTAGAATTAGCTAACACAAGTGCTGCCAAAGCCACCAGACATCAATACAGCAGTCCTGGTCCAACAACCTGTGCCAGCCACGATAGAGAATGGCAGGTACCTGCAACTTAATGGGTCTAGGTGGACCTTTTCCAGCCGTCATCTTCTTTGTTTCAGGGAAGTCTTGACCCATTGTGCTTGACACCGTCCCCTAGGTTAGATCACAAGCTGTGCTAAAAATCTTTCTTTGTTTTATGGGTAAGAATAAGATGATCTAAATCCCATCAACCATCCTGTTTTGGTACTCTTTTTGTCAGAACATTGTGGTTCCTGATCAACCATGTCTCTTTTATGCAACCTTGCTTCACTCGAATCAATTCACTGCAACATGAACCTTTCTGGATCTATTGTGGCTCTTGCAAGTCATCTCTAACCATACCTTTTACCAGTTTAAAGGTTGATTTTCACAATTACTTTTTGAAGGAGGATCCATCTGGACTTCAATCTACCATGAGAACTAATTTCATTGCTTAATTGTTCGGTCTTGTCCCCTCTATTCCTTGTTTTCAGTAATCAATGTTTTACTAGATTTGGGAATAACTAAAATCTCTTCCACTTCGAGGAGTGCACTTGTTCTAGGCAAGTTTATATATGGTCCAGCTTGAAAAGTGTTAGATATGATGGTTACAGGTTTAAATGTAAATTTTTATTTATATAGGGCTTCAATTTATTATTCTATTTGTTTGATGTCTTATTCTGTAGAATTTTTTTTTCTTTTGGATTCCGGTTGTTCCAGTCCAGGTCAAAGGTTTCCCTTTTTTAGGGGGTTCATTACAATCAGCAACAGCGAGATATTCTCTTATTAGGTAAACATCGGAATAGAGGGATAGCTGTGAAGCTGAAACCTTTATCATCACCGATACAGTTGCTTGTTTGTTCTACTTTTTCTCATAGCAGCATCATTGTAGATATATCTTCATAGCACGGACTGCAGCTGACAAAACTAATTGGTGTTGGTCATTCTGTGTTCTTTTATCATGACAATGTTGTGTGGTTGCTCATGTCTGCATAATGTTAGTAGTTTGGAGGAATTCTCATGTTTAATTACATATTTTTTCCTTTTCCATCAATTATACTCGGGACTTTTTATTGACATTCTTATTGCTTGGCTTGCAGTATCAGCCAGATGATCCTATTAACCTTTGGGTGAATAAAGTGGGGCCTTACAATAATCCACAAGAAACATACAACTATTACAGCCTTCCATTTTGTCATCGACTTGGTAACCCTGCGCATAAGTGGGGTGGTCTGGGTGAAGTATTGGGTGGAAATGAGCTTATTGATAGCCAAATTGACATCAAGTTCCAAAGTATGTTGGTCTCTGTTTCTTGTAGAGTTGTAGCTTATGTAGTAGTCAAATGGTAAACCCGTAAATGACATTTTTGCTTTGGCAGAGAATGTGGAGAAGACAACAATTTGTGAGCTTGAACTCGATGAAGCGAAGGTTAAACAGTTTAAGGAGGCTATTGAGAATAACTATTGGTTCGAATTTTTCATGGGTATGCCTCTTGGTCTTTTATGTCTTATTAATATGGATTTTCTATCTCTACTCTGTCATAATCAAGGATGCACTTTGATGCGTTCAATGCCAAAACTCTTTAATATTGATAACTCCATAATAGAACTTGAAGATTTTAAGATTCAGAGATTCAAGCTGTTGCTAAATTTTGTCTTGCTACAAAAAACAAGACATGCATCAGACGTTGCAACTACAAGGGCTTCAAGTTGCAACACATTGCCATTATACAAATTTATTTTTTCTATATAAAATGAGCAGTGTTCCAAAAAGCACTTGGTGGAGGTACTCACCATAAGCAGGGATTAAGTGGACACATTGAGCAAACTATTTTTAATATATAGAATACAGTTTGTGTAGATAGATTTGTAATTTTGTTCCTACAATTGATGATGAAAGCATTTATAACATGTGCATACCAAATTATCAAATAATTCCAACATTCTTAAAAAACATTGAAATAGTTTAAATAATAAAAAAATAATAACCAATTAAAAATTCACATTAGAAATTCACATTAGAGCAGTGAAGTCATTGTATACCATGAATGGTGAAATAATAATAATCTAAAACCAAACCAAACCAAAAACAAAACTAGTATATTCCACCCGGAGGTAGGGTCTGGGGAGGGTAAGATGTACGCATGCCATACCTCTACCCCTAGGGGTAGAGAGGCTGTTTCCATGAAGATTTCCGGCTTGCGAAACAGTTTTATTTTTAAAAAAATTTAGGAGGTGACCAAATTCAGTTACCTGAACAAACAGAATGCAAGAATAAGTTAGAAAAGCTTGCAAGGGAGCGACATTATAGAAAGGCGTAAAATACGATAGATCATAAACGGCCACAGACAAGACAGGAAACTAGAGAGTAGGCCATATAAAACAGTACATATAAAGGGAACAACGCCCTAGGAACACACATAAAAAGATACGCCCCCTAAGGACACTCCTATCTATAGGTTAATGAGCCTATGGACTACCTATCCTAGAAGCTACCCTATTAGCCGACTCTACCCAAATCCGCTACCCTAATGCACTGATGCCAAGAAATTCTATCTCAGTCATGTCCTTGGCCAGGTCTAAGACCGCTATGTCTAGCTTTAACTGCTCACCCACGTCTCTCACTCCCGTAACCGACACATTCTGTACCCTCCTCATTGTTGCCATCATTGATCTCCTGTGAACGTGGCCAAACCACCGCAATTTTCCCTCCCTCATTTTATCTGCGATAGGTGCCACTCCTAGCTCTGTCCAAAAGACCACTTTCAGTATCATGTTCAATGACTAATAACCTAATAATCAATAAATATAACTAATTATAAGTAACTATAAAATTTCAAATTCCACTATAACAGTGACCAAGCTGGTTTCTTTCTTTTTTTACTCTTGAAATGGAGTATATCTCGTTCTTTCTTAACCTTGAGTACATCATTCAGTAAGCATATAAATCAATGTTCTGGTGATACCGACTACAAATCTGATAATGAATAAAGCTATTCAAATTGCATTATGGTACTTGCAACAAACAATACACCATAATGCAATCTGAATGTTTTGTTCAAATATCATTCAATGACTGCCTAGGCAGAGGCCGGTGGTCAACCGCCTCAATTTAGGGCAATAATGGTACTTGCAACTAACAATACACCGTACTTGCCGCTTTAGGTTGCATTTGTTTATTTACATTATACTAGAATCACAATTTCCATGCACATTTTTATTTCTCCATCTTTCTGATCCGATTTTCTTTGGTCTCTGCTGCGTGGAACACAAAATCAGATGATCTACCATTGTGGGGTATGCATCCATCAAACTTTTGTTTTCTTGACATTTATATTTTAGTGCTCTGCTAGTATTTTTTACTGATCTTTATTTATTGTGCAACTATTGTTGGTACTATAGGTTTTGTTGGTGAGCTACATTCTGATAGAAACAGTGATAGCAAGCATATGCTATTCACACACAAGAATATTACTATACAATACAACAAAGATCAGGTGTATTTTTTTGTATATGAACTTGTACAGTGGTAAATGGATCTCATAGTCATGCTGTTTTTATATCATGGTTTACTCTTATTGCAGATCATTCATGTTAATCTCAGTCAAGAGAACCCAAAACCATTGGAAGTTGGGAGAAGAGTAGACATGACTTACTCAGTCAAGTGGACTGAAACTAATATCACATTTGCACGCCGTTTTGATGTTTACCTGGATTATCATTTCTTTGAGCATCAGGTGAATGATAGGACTGCTAGGTTTTATCGAGTCACTGGTCTTTGTCAGGCTGTGCACTTTACAGTTCTTGCATCCTTGCAAATTCAGCTAGATTACAAGCTTGTCTTAATGTATATTGAGATCTTTTTTCCCCATTTTGCTTGGATGCATTGTGTGTTTGCTACACAAGATAACTTTTTTATTTCACTCGCAAGGTTATAATTGTCTTCCACATCATGCAGATTCACTGGTTCTCGATATTCAATTCGTTTATGATGGTTATCTTCCTCACTGGGTTGGTTTCAATGATACTGATGCGGACTCTTAGAAATGACTATGCAAAGTATGCACGGGAAGATGATGATCTTGAAAGTCTGGTAATGTTGCTTTAAAGTTAACAAGTTTTGTAAGTTGTAGCAATCCAGCTACCAGCTATTGAGATGTTTGCTTTTCAGGAAAGAGATGTAAGTGAAGAATCTGGTTGGAAGCTTGTGCATGGGGATGTTTTCCGACCAGCTCGCAATTTGGTTTTATTATCGGCAGTTGTTGGAACGGGTGCTCAATTGGCGCTACTGATTCTTCTTGTCATTCTGTTTGCAATTGTTGCGACGTTGTACATTGGGTACGTTACAGTAGGCACATGTCGTGGAGAAGGTGAAGCAATTAGGTCCCTAAGTAGACCTAGGGTGCGTTTTGTACGTAGACAGAACTGGACAGGACGGGACTGGCCAGAGTGGGTAGACGGGTGAAAGAATTGCTCAAGGTTTTTTGAGGTTTTAATTTGATATGGGTGGTTTAGTAATTTATCAATCTTGCCGCATCTCCCTGTTTTTTCTGCCACCTATTTCGGTGGAACAAAAAAAAATACAATTTTGTTGCATTTAGTCTTGTTCTATCCCGGTCTTAATGTCGCACCAGACATGGGACAACATGTTTTTGTCTTGTCCAGTCTTGTTCCATGCATCAAACGCACCCCTAGAGAACTATTTGAGGAATGCATTGACATGGATTTTTCAGAAAAAAGTGAGAAAATGTCTATGAAGTTGAAGAAAATGCTGATTTGATTACCTTAACACTGATCTGGAAAATCTCATGTTTTGACTGTCATTTTGGTTTTTGTTTTTAGGAGAGGAGCAATTGTCACAACATTTATAGTATGTTATGCCCTCACGTCGTTTGTCTCTGGGTATGTGAGCGGTGGCATGTATTCACGCAATGGTGGTAAGGACCTTAGTTAATTGTTGTTTCTTACTATCCAAGTCTCTCTCATTTACTACCCCTATCCCAAAATAAGTCTTCTCGATTCTGCTTCAGTTTGTCCCAAAATAAATGTCCTAATTGAAAAGTAAGTGCCTACTTTTCAATTATATCCTTAATTACGAGATGGAGAAATTTATTGTTTCATCTATTATTAAGGGTAAACTGTCATTTACACGGTGTTCTCGAATTTGAGAAGAAAAGAAAAGAAAGGGAAGGAAAAGAAAAGAAAGGGAAGGAAAGGAAAATTTTAATTTGTGTTCTTAAGGGAGAAGTGAAAGGAAGGAAACGGGAAGGAAAAAAACTGAATTTTCATGTTCTTGAACGGTTGAGAAGGGAAGAAAAGATGTCATTTTACGAATATACCCTTATTTATTTTACAACTGTATGTATTTGATACCCAGATGTGTAGTTTTACAAAAAAACGTAGTTATTGTTTCTTTCCTTCTCTTTCCTCCCACATTTGGGAGGAAAGTTTTGGAAGGAAAATCAGCATTATTTTCCTTTCCTTTACATCCTAAAAAACTTGAGAACACGAGATTCTTTCTTTCCCCCTATTTTCTTCCCCTTTCCTCCTGTTCCTAAAAAAGGTCTCAAGAATACGGCGTTAGTTAAAAATTGTAATAATTACACATTTCTAAAACTGTCTTTTTCATCATGGACATTAATTTTGTGATGGAGGGACTACTTGTCTGCACCTTTACTTCAGTTTTGTGAAACATACTTCAATGGCATGTTAGCCATTTGCTGACTATTGTATGTTTTTTCCACAGGGAAACATTGGATAAAGTCAATGATCCTCACTGCATCTCTTTTTCCCTTTTTGTGCTTTGGAATTGGTTTCTTTCTGAACACCATTGCTATATTTTATGGGTCTCTGGCGGCAATTCCATTCGGCACAATGGTGGTTGTGTTCGTCATTTGGGCTTTCATCTCATTCCCTCTAGCCCTTCTTGGTACAGTTGTGGGAAGGAACTGGAGTGGTGCTCCAAACAACCCTTGTCGTGTTAAAACCATTCCTCGCCCTATTCCTGAGAAGAAGTGGTATCTCACACCATCAGTGGTCTCAATAATGGGAGGACTGCTACCTTTTGGTAGTATTTTCATTGAGATGTACTTTGTCTTTACTTCCTTCTGGAATTACAAGGTATCCTTTATGTTGTGACTTATTTCGTTTACATCCTTGACTCATAATAATTTAGCTATCTTCACAAACTATGATGAAAGTATTGGTTGGTTAGTAATGATGAAGTATATTTATTTTGTACAAAGAGAGGTCTATAATGGAAATTTGGTGCAGAATCTGGCCACTTTTGCATATAATTAGAACAGAGGTCATTGTTGCTTCTGGCTTGAGTTTTGGTACCGTCACTACATGTTTGCTTTTTGAGACGGAATGGTGGTTGGTATCAGGTTGACTTTCGAAATTTATTGTTATACATAGAATTTATATACTTTGGTTCTGTTTAATGGTTTCTAAAGCTTCTTAGACAAGTTCTAGTTTTGGTAACCAACTACATATATGATTTTTCTTTGACAGAATGTGTTAAGTAGAAGGAATGTTCTTGGTTAGTGGTTGGTACCGGGTTGACTTCCAAGATTTATTACAATAAATACAATATATTACTGTTATTCTAAAACAAAACCAAACAAGCCCAGTATGTCCCACCCAAGGTGGGGTTTAGGGGTGGGATGTTTGCAGGCCTGACCTCTACCCCATAGAGTAGAGCGGCTGTTTCCGTGAAACCCCTGGATTGTGCAAATATTTTAGATGGTTTCTGAAGTTTTTTAGACTGTTATCCTATTGATTTCTAAAGTCTTCTAGACAAGTTTAGTTCAATTATGATAATGTCTCCCTTGCACTGCACATGCATTGATCACACAATCAGTCGATTGAGCTCAAATCTGAAGTGTCAAACCCATATTAAGATAATTTGTTTCTTTGTTTGGCAGGTGTACTATGTTTATGGGTTTATGCTACTTGTTTTCCTCATTCTGATCATTGTCACTGTATGTGTGACAATTGTTGGAACATATTTCCTTCTAAACGCTGAGAATTACCACTGGCAATGGACTTCATTCTTTTCTGCAGCCTCCACAGCTATTTATGTCTACTTATATTCAATATATTACTACTATGTGAAGACTAAAATGTCGGGGTTCTTCCAAACCAGCTTCTACTTTGGATACACGGCGATGTTCTGTCTTGGTTTAGGAATTCTCTGTGGTAAGTTCAACTCGTCTACCTCTCTTCCGTTGTTCCATTCCAAAATTTCAATTAGTTAACTATATACACTAGGCCATCTAGAAAAATTGTCATTTGAACGAGTACATAAGTTTACCTAAAACTCCCATTACCAATGACAAATTAGGGTTTTTTATTAGGGGGGGGGGGGGGATGTTGTACACTATAATCAATCTTGTTTGTAGTTGTGATGATGTCAATGGGCAAATGAGTAACTTTATGTTGCAATTTTCTGATAACTAGATGTTTGCAACAATACAGAAAGAAAATTGTTGCAATTTTTATGAAATGTAAGGAGTAAATTGATAGAAGTAGTAATACCCTCCATTTTTACGAGTTCTGTATTCTAATATTATGAATCTTGTGAATAATTATTCGATGTTTTCTTCTCATGATTAATTATGTAGTATTTATTCTGTGGTCTCTAGAGATCAGAAATTTGCATTTGAAAAATCTGCGGACATCTTACCACCGCTATGTGGGAATTACTTGGTTTGGCTTTTCATATCTGAATGTTTGCATATGCTTTTAATAGAAACCTTGAAAGAGGAGTGATTTTGGGTTTTTTACTAATTGAATCTGTGTTTGTACAATTTCCAGGGGCTGTTGGGTATTTGGGATCTAATCTGTTTGTGAGACGGATCTACCGAAATATCAAGTGCGATTAAGAAAGTGTTTGTGACGGAAGAACAACGGCCAACTCGGTTTTGTAGTTTATTGTGTCGATACCAATTCCAAATGCATCAGAGATCCAAATGTAACTTTTGAGCAATGGAAGTAAGGAAGAAAGGAAGGTTTTAGAGAAATGAAGAGATTGTTTTTATTATGCAGGAGGGAAAAAAAGGGGGAGTGGGGGTAGTAGGTAGCAAGCATCATGTAGCCAGCCAGCCAGCCAGCCAAGCAAACAACTTGTTATATACACAACTTCTATTGTATTCTTATTCATCCACCATTCCAAAAATAAACCATCCTATTTCTATTTCAGGCTTTGTATTTTGTACAAGGTGAAATCCCATCAAAACCCAACAATTGACACGTGTTTAAGGGTACGATCGGAACAAAAACTTGTCTCATGTTTGGTGTGACATTGAAGACATTGGTACACCACGGTAGGACAAAAAAATGCAGCCGAAATAGGGGAGATTATAGTAAAGTTGGTAAATTATTAAACAACCCGTGTCAAATTAAAATCTCGAAAACATTGCATGATTTTTCACTTCAATTCTGTTATGTTCTGTTCAGTCCCTCAACGTACCAAATGCACCGGTAGGTGGTTGGTGACCGAATATTTACTCCAAATTGTACTGCCATCTGCTTTTGCTTCATGTTGAAAGGAAAATTAATAACTTGGAGCATTAATTGAAACAACCACTTTTACTACTTGTCTACTACATGTAATGAATTCATGGGACTACTTGTTTCATGATAAAATGTTTGTACCCTTTTTGCAAAATTAATAAATGATGATAAAATAGTAAATTGGGCCCAAGCCCAAGCCCAAATCTTTGGCTATAAAATGAAAGGCTAGAAAGAAGGGTATATAGACAATAAATTGATATTAAAAGAAAAAGAAATAAAACTGGTGAAAAGTAGAACCAATGGTGATAACATGATAAAGTGAACCACAAATGTCTGCCACGTGGCGGATATCTGATCCTAAGAACACACTATTTCCACAAGCCTCCTCCCCTATTCTCCTTACTTGTAAACCCTCCATCTCTTCCTCATTCTCTCTCTCTCTCTCCGACCACCATAACCACCACAATGGCAGCGGCAACCGCTTCCCTCACCGGCACCATGGCGAGCACTTCCTTTCTCCGCCGCCAACAACCCAGTACAGCCATCCGTTCTCTTTCCACCTCCAACAAAACAGCAGCCCTGTTTGGACTGAAATCCAGCACCGGCAGCCGTAGCCGCGGCGGAGTGACCATGATGGCGAGCTACAAGGTGACCCTCATCACGCCGGAGGGAACACAGGAGTTCGAATGCCCTGATGATGTCTACATCCTTGACCACGCCATGGAGGAAGTGGGTGTCGACCTTCCGTACTCATGCAGGGCCGGGTCTTGCTCGTCGTGCGCCGGAAAAGTAACCGCCGGGAACGTGGACCAGTCGGACGGGAGCTTTCTGGACGACGACCAGTTGGAGGCTGGATGGGTGCTGACCTGTGTGGCTTATCCCACCTGTGACGTCACCATCGAGACCCACAAGGAGGAGGAGCTCACTGGTTAATTTTTTATAATATTTATTTTTAAATCAATAAATTTCAAGTGGTGGATGATGTGTTTGATGGAAGTCGAATGTCTTTAAATTTAAGTCAACTTTAATTAAGATGTCAAATTTTGTTACATTTTAATACTATCTTTTTTCAATATTTGAAATTAAATCCCTTGTTATATTTATTAATATATATATATATATATATATATATGTATATATATATATATATTGTCTTTAATTTGAAATACTTGTTGTAAATTTTCTGCTCGGATTTTACTTTTACTCGAATAATTATAATTAATTTGTCGATTTTAATTGGATTAGATGTTCTTTTACCACATTATTAATTATCCTACGGTTGGCAACAATAAGCGTGGTAAGAAAAAACTCATCTTATCATCTTTTTGGTGGGTTATGATTAAAGTTGATGACGGGATGGGTGGGTGAGTTGGGTTGAGTCGAGCGAAAAGAGGTAAAGGAGTTGCGAAGTGGTCTTTTCGAATGTTAACGATGAATTCACATATGAATTACTTACCCCGAATATTAACCACTTGATTCAAAAATATTGCCAAACATGGAAACTACTGTTCGGCGAGTAGTCTTAACACCACGGATTAAGTACACGTTTTCTTGAACTTCTTAATATAATTTTGTGATTTAATCACGTCTTGTGAATAGTATTTTGATGTAAGGCTGATAACAAATAGGGTATAGATTAGATAACGATTATTCAAGGTTGTGGTTGTGCCACAAAACCTCTTGTGTTTGTTGTCGTATTTATCTTCTAGATTCGGGTTTTGAAAAGAACTCCATCTTTCTATTTCCTTTCGAGCAACCATTTGTTAAAAACAATGACGGCATGATTTATACCTTGAGATTGCATCATTTCCCCAAAAGTAAACGATTTTCGTTGTCATGATATTCAGTAGCGGAGAAAAAATAATTATATTATTAATTTTCTGAAAGAAAAAACAATTATATTACAATGATGAAATATTGATCTTTACAAATTCAACGATGGCTTGATATCCATACGATTTGTGTTTACAACTATCAATAGTATTTTGATCTGACATAGATGATGAATCGACGGTTGTTTTTCTCTTTATTAGACTGTTATTCATGGTTGTTAAATATTATATAAAACAAACTAAAATCAACATTTAACAAATAACAGTTATAAAATAAAAATATATAATGAGGGGTTCAAACCTTATTAGATGTGAAGAGGATGCGTGAGCTTTTTTTTTGTTCTATTTACTGTATATAAATATTATATACTTCAAAAAAAAATCAGATGTGAGTCTAGTATATTATACAAACTATGCAGTCTTGCTAATGGGACGTTTATTAAAAACTTACCTGATAAGTGTTTATCGGTGAAATTCAACATTATTACTTACTTACCGGCTAAGATTTTACTCTATGAAAACAACACCGAATGCAATAATCTACTCGATATACTCTTACCGTAGTAAGAGTCATCGTTTTCACTTACCGGGTAAGACTCTTGTTTCTTGTCTCGTTCTTACCGGGTAAGGTTTTTGGTTCTTGTCATATTCATTCGGTAAAGTAATGTGACTTAGTAAGCGCTTACCCGGATAAACGTTTAGTAAACGGTCCCTAACAAACCTAAATTAATAAATTATTGGCCTCCTAAAATTATTGGAATAATCATCTAATTTTCTTTATAATATTTTTTTTAATGAATAAACATTTAAATTATATAAAAAATGGATTAAATCAGTAAATCTTGATATTTGCTTTTAGAAAATTGAGGTTTATTTTCAAAAGTTAACCAAAAATGAAAGGGCTTGAATGTGAATTTTTAAGTCTCACTCCACCCATAGCCTAAAATCCTCCATGTGAATTAGTATATTCAACATTGTATTTTGGAAATTTCAGGGGGAGCTTGTGCACCCCCTGGCTATAATGTGGATCTACCACTGATGATATTGAGAAAGTCGAGAAGCTGTTTAATGAAATGGTCGAGAAAAAGAACATAGAGAAAACCCCCTGGAAGTATGTGCTCATATACGACCAAAAAGTCTTTAAGTTTGCAAAAAGTTTGCCCACGGTAACAAGTATTACATGTGGGTAGCTCAGAATCTAGATATGGTCAATATTTTGAAATAAGTACATTGGGGTCCCTGTGGTTTGCATTTCATTTCATTTTGGGTCCCTACCGATAACGCAGTCCATTTCATCTCCGTTAGCATTCACACGTGCCTTGCAAGGGAGGGGTGAATAGTCTTTTTTTTTTTTTTTTAATGTTTTCCCTCTCCTTTTAATACCTGCTATATAACGGATATATCATCTTCTTCATCTTTCTTCTTCTATTATTCTTCACGGCCAACGATGGTGTATTGTGGGTGTGGGCCGCCTGCAACTATTCGTACTTCGTGGACTTCAAATAATCCAGGCTGAAGATTCTATGATTGCTCAAAAATACATAATATTTCAAACCTTATACAAGACTATAATTAGGAACGAGTATTACTAGAAACACATTAGATGTCGTTATCTCCAAAGTACAGAAGACGTCACCAATTACCTAGATCCTTCTCGTGCCTCTAGCTATCACTCACTTCAACATAGTGTTGCCAGTACCATTCCCTGACAAGGACCTGATGAATGAAAAAAGTTAGGCTTAACGCCTAGTGGGATCAAACAATTTTCATCTTTAATACAAAATAGTAAAACTGGAAAAGATTTTATTTAAATTACAATTCCAAAATGAAATATATTTAGTATAAAAGCAACATCTTTCTCAAAACCATCATTTTCGTGATGAAAACTTGGTGACCAAAACACTTATTTTAACATGAAGTCAAAACCCAATACTCACCAAAAACGTGAAAAAGATTTAAGATTCAAATAATGAAAACATAGATAAAACTCTGTTATTCAAGACATCCAAAGAACATGGAAAAGGTTCGATGCCCAAAGCAACAAGCATGGATTCCAAGATACCAAGATCATAAAGTATGGATACACTTCGTACCTAAGATAATATCGAAAACATAGATAATACAGTGTCCAAAAATAACACATTTCAGTGACAAGGGAAATCCGTTTCTATCAAGTGGTGGAACACTAAGTAAGCCATATCGAGATGTTGACAAGAAAATCACCCCCAACGTACAAGCCTTGGTAATTGCTCTTATTGGGGCTAAGATAAGAACATCACAACTCCTTACTTAGTCACTCCTCAAGTTACAAGATGAGAACACTAAAACTCCTCACTTGCTTAAAATCAAAGGTTCTAAAGCGAGAAGATGAAAACTCCTCAATTTATCCCAAACCATTGATATCAATAAGAGAACCTCAGAATTTCTCTCTTGTCACAAACCAAAAAGGGGGTCAAGCTGAAAACATCAAAACTCCTCACTTGACTAAACCCTGAGGCTTCAAGACGAGGACATCAAAACTCCTCATTTGACGAAACACGACTAGCACATATTTGTGAACCCAGATTCAAGTCACTAACAAGAATTAAGATCAATATCAAGAACACATAATGATTTTGAATAGTCGGTTGTCTATTGATATTCAAAGATTACATAGAGTGTTATTGAGAGACCTGGCCGATGTCTACAAGTGATACTACCATAACTAACAACTACCTTATTTATACAAAAGGATTACAATGTACACAAAGCAATAAGACTAGACTAGAAAACATATAAAAACGGTTTTAGCACAAGGACTTGATTACAACATTTTTAACTCAACACATATGCATATGGATCCAATGCATTGCAATCTAAATTACATGACTCTAAATGAATGATGAAACGCATTGAAAACAAGTATTTCTCAAATAACAAATTGCAAATAAATGCATATCATGTCCCAAGTCAAAAATAATGAAATATCAACTTATTGAGCTTGAAGTAGAAGTCGTTTCAGAGAGTTGTTAATCAAGTGAAGAGAGCACCGACTTGCCAATCGAGAGTTGAGGCTTACTAATCAAACATGGAGTGTAAGTTGTAGAGAGATGGCTTGGTCGGACGTGGATGTTGTCAATGATACGGCGCTGCCGGCTTAATCATCGATGTGGCTAATGGGGTCGTCGGCTTGATTTTGCGGCGTGATTTCTTTCTATTTATTTCTCGATGCTGAAGTTATTTTAGGAGAGGAGAGGAAAACATATGTGGGAAAGGACAAAAGCCTAATATGCTATCATGCTAACAGGACACAAATGAGGGAAGGTGGGAAAGTAAAAATTTCACGGTTTTGAATTTTGATTTCGAACTTTTAAGTTTTTATTAAATTTAATATACATAAAATAATACTATCTTGGATGGGTATTCAGGTCAGTTCGGTTCGGGGCTGTCATCCAAGAACTGACTGGTCTAATTGGGATGTTGAAATTTTTTTTATGATCTGATACAATTACAATTGGATATTCAATCATTGTCGGTCAGTTCTAATTGAATCAGTTGTCTTTCAGTACACCCCTACTTATATATATATATATATATATATATATATACACACTATATATATATATATAGGTATATCTATACAAAGGCTCCTTCAAATACAAACTCAATGAAGGTTACAAACTATGCAAACTCCTCATAACTGTTGATCAATATTATGAACGGCCCAGATTTGGAAGGTGAAAATTTTGAAATTTAGGTTGCGTTTGGTAAATGGGACGAGACAGGATAAGACGGGACAAACTCATTGTCTCACGTTTGGCACAACATGGGATAGAACAAGAACTCWTTGTCTCMCGTTTGGCACAACATGRGATAGAACAAGAACTCATTGTCTCCCGTTTGGCACAACATGGGATAGAACAAGAACTCACTGTCCCACATTTGGCGTACCATGAGACAGAGACAGGGAAAGGAACTGGGCAAGGTAGGATAACATGGGACAAAAAATGTTTTTTCTTGTTCCACCAAAATTGGTGGAAAAAGATGGGACAAGAATAAGACATAAACTAAAATATTATTAATCTACCTTAGTTTGATACATAACATTAATATGGTATATATTTTAATGGTTATCATTGTTAGTTTCGACCGGCGCCACCATCGGCGGTCACCGTCGACCACCTCCACCTCCATCTTCTCTTCCATTACAACAACATCCTTCATCACCTCCACAACCACCGTCCACCACCGTCCCTCGCCATCTCTACCAGAATCGACCACTGACCACCACCATCCATTGCCACCACCACTACCGCCATTGGCCACCTCCAACTCATTCTATACTACAACAACCTCCTCCACCACCTCCACGATCACCATCGGCCACCGACCACTACCATCCATTGCCACCAACATACCATTGTTGGCCACCTGCAACTCCTCTACCGCAACAACCTCCTCCATGACTCCCAATACTATATGTTAATGATTTTTTTCATTTATATTATATTAAAAACACAGTAATATTAGCAGCAATAAATTTATCTATGAGATCATTACCATCCAACACACGATAAGCTATTTTTATTTCATATTTGGACCATTAATTCATGTAGGACTGGATTAGATTAGAATTAGACTGTAGATGTTAATTTTTAACGATAACTAGTGTTCGATAATTTTTTTAGAAAATATTCTCGTTTGTTCATATATATATATGTATATATATATAGGGGGCATTCAAGAGAGAACCGGTTAGTTTGTGATAAATTTTAGATCCAATTTTAACCACAAATCAATGATTAATTAGGAAACTAATAATTTTGGTAAGGTTACTTAAAATTTTAATTAAATGATATTTTAGGTATTTTAAAAATATTCTCTCTCCCACCTTCGGCCTCTGGTAAACCTTAGTCCAACACCTAGTAAAGACATGATATACAATGTCATACATGAAATATACCAAGTAAACTTCGAGACTGTAAAAAAAATACATACAAACGATCCACGTTGTGATATCCATAATACATACAAGATGCATTGTGATACTCAATATAGTATCACTGTGATACCAGCTGTGATACCAAACCTTAACACACAAAACCTCGATTTCTAGCCAATGATTTTACCAGAAAGAAACGATTCAGCTTTCGATATTGGAAATTTTCTTTGATGTAGTACTAGGATTTTTCAATTTTTCAGATCTGGATTTTTCAAAAAAATTCTTTGATATAGATCTTCGATATCTGGATGTTTTCATCGCCACCATGTAAATTTTCCAGATCTGGATTTTATGATCTGGGTACGATGCAGATCCGGGTTCAAAGAAAGTCATGGTTGATCGAGTTTTATGGGAATCGATGCTTTAGGAAGGGCATATGATGAACAGTGAGGAGACGTTGTGATGGTTGGAGTTGAGGGAGAAGGAAGGGCTCTGAAAATGGTGGCGTGATGTTAAAACGGTAAAGGACGACGTCAGATGTTAAAACTTAATGTTAGTGAAGGATGTGAATAAGGTGTCGTATAAGCTTGGAGGAAAAGTTAAATAATTTTCATATAGGTTTGGTGGTCAGATTAAATGGACAGTGGGTGCAACGACATGGTTGATCAAAATAAATGGAAATTTGCATATGAAGAGAGAAGGGGTGATGATTTTTAGGGATGTTGATACAATTTATAGAAGATTTAATGAGTTGTCAATTTTTTAAAATTATCAATGCGCCCTTTTTATTAATTAAGGTAATACAATTAATTTAATAAAATGATTGACTCATATTGGACCTCACAGTTACCACAAACTAATTAGTTCTCATTTGATTAGTCTCATATATATATATATATATATATATATATAGGAGCGTTCAAATGAAAACTTGACCCATTTGTGTAAACCGTGTAAACCAATCTCATCCGTCCATTTTCTTGATCAATGGTCTAGATTATATTATTTTATTTTAGGGAATTAAAAATTAAAAAATAATYAATATTCATTTTATTTAAGAAAAAATGGTAGAATCGGTATTCATATCAAAAGCCCTYGTTTCCWATTTCCAAATACTCCCATTGTATTTTAGGAAATTAATATTCATTATTTTATTTTAGCATGTTCATTATGAAATTATTTTTTCAAATACTCCCATTGCATATGAGTCAATTTTCTAAAAGAACAAATTYMATTACGCACCCGTTTTATTTCATTCTACAAACTAAACGGATTAATTTTAAATACAATGCAACCGTGCTCACTACGAAACTAGTTCATCAATCCCTAATAAATTACATAATGAAAATGTTGCACCAACATCAAAGTATTTGCTACACTATTTCATAATGAAACCTTTTCACTATGCACCAGCTT